AGATCAGATTGGGTGTGATCACCAGGAGGTCAGCTGGAATTTCCCTCACTGATGAGTTCACAGCTACAAGGGCAATCTTTTTGTCTGTAGGCCTTGATTCTAAAGTGAAGAACATGTGTTCAATTGTTTGTGGCTTACTATGGCTTCCTCAAATGTCTCTCAAATGGTATGATAAACAAAAAAGAAAAAAAAAAGGAACCAAGGCCCAGTAGCAGCCATTTTGGGTCACTGGCTAGGAAAATCAGAGTGTATTCCACATGGGTAACCAAAATTGAAGAAGAATATGCATCCTTAGAATTCAGTATTCTGGGGAAGGGGCTCAGCATGTGGCTCATGCTGGAGATCCTTCTGCAGGTGGTTCTTGTCCTGGAATGTGGCCTGTTCCAGATGAGTCTGCGGAGTTTTGGACCTGGAAGAGGAAAGCAGTTACAACACAGGCTGATGGGGACCTGCCATGATACCTATGAAGATGCTCCCACAATTCACTTTAGCTCTGCTGGACAATGAATTTAATCTTTTGATTGATGCAATTTTTGGTACTCACAAGGAATAAGATCCCAGAGTAGATGGGCCTAAAACAGTGCTCATTATTAAACACAAATAATAATTTCAAATAAACACTGTTGGTGTTCATTCTATTAGAAAGAATAGGGTATTCTCCTAAAATTCAGGGATATTATTTTGTAAACAGCAATAGTATATTGATACTATAGTCAACAGCACATGAGAAATACACTAGTTGTACTTGAGCCATTCAATATTTTATAGATAGCCTTAAACTGCCTGCAGCTTAGGTCTCTGTAGAAGGACGTGAGGCTGGCTCAGTCCTCATGCCCAGAAGGAACCTTGACCATGAACAACATGCAGACAGATCCTGTCGTGCTAGAGCAGCATTTCCTGAGATGTGTGCCTGAGAACGTTGTCCCTGTCAGGGCTCTGGGACCAAACAGACTGGTGCTTTCCTTGGGACTAGACTGGGAAACTGTATCCTGGCTTTGGGAGTCGGTTACAGAACACACCTGAGAGGGTTCTGATCTTCCCTACAGCTGAGTCATCTGTCTGGGTTCATCCTGGGAAGAACTTAATTGTTCCTATTCAGAGAACACTTTTCACAGGAAATGGGCAAATGTTACAGAGAGCAGTATTAAAGTCAGAAATCTCTGATCTACATGGGACTTTTCTTAATAAAAAGGCCCTGTGATGCACAGCTTTAAACACAATATCCGGGAAGGCTGAAGCAACCAGTTTTCTGTTAGTTCAGCAAAAGCCTTCTGAGAACATAGTGGTCAGAAGGGAGGAATAGACACGAAATTCTACATATGCGCTTAGTATCAAACCCAATATATTCTGAACAGAATTTCTTTTTGACTGAACCAGTTCTGCTCTCTGAGGTCTTCTTTTCCTGGCTCTAGCTGGATATCTCAGAGATGAATAGAATTGATATTGACCCCATGTCCCTGGGACCCCCCCCCCTTGGTTCTACCTCATCTTCCCAGTCTGGGTTCCTACCTCATCTGAGAGACCTGAAAATGATGCTGCAGCTTTTTGACCAAGTGCTTTTCCTGTGTGACCATTTCCCTCTGCTTCTGCAGGAACTGAAAGCTTTCTTCCAGTCTCTTGAGCTCCTGTTCATGAGAAAATTGTGTTTTTGTTGAGGGTTATAGACATTTAAACAAATCTAAGAACAGACAAAGGATCCCAATTACTCGCAGGTCAGCTAGGCAGGCTAAACAAAAGCATATGGGGAAGGAAGAACCCCTGTTTGTGGTCAGAACTGATAGAAACACAGTGGTCTGCACAAGGAAATGAACACGTGCTCGATGCATCACAACACCTACATCCTTACACTACACACACACACACACACACTCACACACACTCACACACACACTCACACAAAAACACACAAACGTACACCTGCACTCAAACCCAGAAGGAGTGAGTGTTAAAAAAAGGGAAATATGGACAAAGGGGGTTGCAGAAAGAAACATCATGGTCGATGAACAGTTGGGTTTAGAATAACCATACCAGATCTTTTTAGAAAAGGCTCACAACACAGCCATAATTTTTGGGAACTAATATTGTTGTGGGAAATATGATTTGTTTAGACAGACTATATTGAGCTGGTAAGAGAAATTCTTCCTCTATAGGCCCAAATCTCCCATGTTCCACCATCAGCTTCTCAAAAGCCCCGAGATGATCATCCAATCAACCATGCATTATAATCTGGATGGAAGAACATTCCAGCACCACTCCCAGAAAAAAGAATTGACAAGCTGCTACTCAGGGTTCTTTCCTTGTGAACCAAGAATTCAGAGAAAAGAAAGAGAACACATTGGAATGCAGGCAGAAAAGAGAAGTCCACAGGCCACCCACATCCGTGAGTATGAGAAGCAATGGCACAAGGATCTCCACCTTGTAAACTGCTTCCCACCTGTGATGTAACGTGACCCTCACCAAGCAAATGAACCACAAGATTCTAAACCCACTCACTATTAGCTCTGTGCCTAGAACGGTCATAAATACATGTACATGTCTGCTATATGATTGACCCATCTCCTTCACTGAATTTCAGCTTTGAGCTGAGCAGAAATTAAGGTTTGCCCATATTTCAGTTTTCCATAGGACACAAGCTTCCAAGGAGTCCTTGTGCATGGACACTGCAGGGAATGCCTGGATAGCATGAGGTCGGTGGCAGGAACGGAGGATGGAAGAATAAGCTGATGGATTAAACACTGGTGGTTGGATGGGTAGAGAGGCAGTCAAATGGACAATGGTCCCAGAGCTTAGCCTGACTTGTTGCCTGCCCCTACCTTTTGTTGCTGGATTTTAAGATAGCTGATCTCTTCTTCTTGATCATTATGGATCAATTTCAAATCCTCCAGGAGGTACTTCAGCACAGTCCAATCATTCTGCAATTTCCTTTCCTCCTGCCTCAGCTCGTCCACCTTCTTCTTTAGCTGAGTCCTTTCCATCAGTAGTCGGCTGTGCAGATCCCTGGATACATAAACTGCATAATAAGCCCTGCCAGCCTCTTCCTACTATCCCTAATGTCCTGAGACCAGCACCCAAAAAGACCTCATGTTTCCTAGAATAGGTAGCTAAGAGTCTGATAGAATCATGACAGCTACACTCTGGAACCCAAATAAAAGAACATGTAATGCCAGAAATTATCAAACTACTGTTGAAAACCTCAACACCTAAAAGAATCCATGTCCCTTCCATAGAAGGAGTAGATCCCTGGCTGGCCTAACTGTCTATGGTGATGGGAAAGCATCAGCATGTAGTGGGCAAATACCCTTCATGGGAGGACAACAGGCCTAAGGTGAGCATATTCTATCTACAGGTTCCTCATTTCCCAGAAGTGTAAAGAATGGGTCTGAGCGCCAGAAATCAAGCCTGTCTGACATTCCCCTGAGAGTGTAAATACCTTTTCTGTCTATTGGCTCCTGAGGCTCTAGGAAAATGGTAGCAGGGACTGCCAGTCTCTTTCATACTTAGAAAAACTGAAACCAAAAGACACAAGTCTAAAAGCTGCTTCTTAAAAAGTAAAAAGTCTACAACCAGAGTTGTGGAATCTTCATCCAGACAAAAAAGAAGTCAGAGATGTCCATTCCACAAGTTTTTTGATTCATGTCCAGGTGAACACTTACCGATAGAAGACTTTCTCCTTGTTCACTGCCTTGAAATTCTCTAAGGTCTCGGTGTTCTCATTCTCCAAATTGTTTAGCTCCATCATGTTCTGTTTGTCATCCATCTTTGCCTGATCATACAAAGCATTTGGCTTGTGGTTCTTGTAGGGACTAGAAAATGGGAGAAAAGATCTCATGAAGATAGCTTCAATGATCACCGGAACTCAACTTGTATCCTGATGGACAGTAGCCCTGTGTGTGCAAGATTCTGTTTCCTATGTATTAGGACCTTCTGGTGCTTTTAAACTTGTTATTCTGGCCCCAGAATAGCTGAGCTCCTCCTGAGATGGATTGTGCCATGACGTCATGAGCTCACTCAATAGGACTAGATGATCAGTCTAGTTCTCTATGATACCAGGAGTCTCTGTCACATGTCTATGTACACCAGACATTGCAATGACATCTCTCCTGTTTCAGAGCACTGATTCTGAGTCCTGGTTGACAATCCATGAACAGTTAGAGCACATCATTCTGGGTTGGGTCCTAAGAGCAGGGCAGTGATATAAACTCCCCTAGGGATTCCTAGGTGCCACCAAGTTGAGCATGTGGGACACAAGCAGTCCTACTTTAAGTGGGGCTCCTAGAGCTCAGCACTGGCAACTTCTGGACAGTGGGAGAAGATATGCACACATATGTACATGAGAGAATAATGGGAGTTACAGAGACACAGAGAGAATGACCATCACCTATTGGATGCTAAAGAGATTCACGGAGCTCTACCGTCTAAAAGCATAATGTGCAAAACTACAGAGAACCTGTGATGAGCCCCAGCACTTTCAGTTATACACTGAGATTTCCCAAGTCAAACCAGGCCCCTCCAACTGCTAAAATGGGCTTCTAGCATACAATCATATGCCAGGAAAGTAGAGACTCCCCACAAACTAACAGCACGTAGTTGTAGCTAATGCAAGCCACCTTTCCAAGTTGTTTCCTCTCCAAATACATGCTAGGAACTACACAGTACTTGCCTCAATCCCTGAGCTGTCTGACTAAAACCAGAGGTCCTGGTTTTCATTAGTAGAGAGCAGAAAAGTTAGAGGTTACATCTCATCGCCCCTGACATTCAAGGTCTCCCTGTCCCCTGAGAGGAATTTAGGTCATGACGTTTGTAACAGCCTCCTAGAAAACAAGACCTTCAAAAGAAGAAGAAGGCAAGGGTGACATTGCCAACAACCCCATGAAGTTTGAATTAATGGATACCTATTGTCCACGGTTCCTTCCGTAAGGATCATCAGTCGGTCTTTCAGGTCATTTCTTTCCTTGCTCATCAGTTGCAGCTCTGTGGTCAGCCTCTCCTCTTCTCTCTTCATCTGTTTCTTGCTCAGGAGCATTGGATTGGATGCTGTCTCCATAGAGGTTTCTTGTGTAAGTAGAAAACAAGTGAAATTGTAAAGCAAAAAGGCATAGGAGATGGACAGACCACCCTGAAGCCCAAACAGAAAATCATGTCTGGAACCTAGTGAAACCAAAATATACTAGGCCAGGGTGACATGCCCCCTGTTTGGATCCCAACTCTCCCATCATGGTAGAGATGTGGCTATGTAAGGATCAAGGGTTTTTCTCAGTCTCCCTACAAATTCGTCAGCTGACTACAGAGACCACCTCTTCAGGCATATTCATAGGAGCACAGGATGAGGCATGGTCCTGACCCCTGAACTCTACTGTGATTTAGAAGCCAAGAGAAAAATGAGAGAGTGCACAGGCACTAAGATGTAATGAGGAGCCCGGGTCTTATTGCTGGTCATATTCTAGACCCATGATTGTGGATTGGAAAACCACATGTTTTGTGGTGAACATGTATGAACTTGGTCAAGAGACTCACCAAGTCACTAATTGACAACTCTGATCTTTGAAGTTGACACTCAGTAGTCATTTCCTGCTGTGGTCCCATAACTCTGTTAGAAATTTGGTCACCCTCTGATCTAACTGCCATTCTCAGCTGCCCATTGATAACCCTAAGGGGTCGCTCTCAAGAAAAGGAGGTCAGAGGAATTCTGCTGAGCAGACTGCTGAACACCATGAGGATGAAAGATCTTGGCTAGGAGCACATTTGTCTTCATGGGAACAGTGTCAGTCAGCCACTAAACATAAAGCAACTGATACAGGTGCCCAAAGTTGGAGACACATTAGTCCCTCCGTGCCTCCTGCTTGTCGCTTTCTGTCACAACATTACACCCCAAACCACAGCAAAGGTAAGAGCTAAGTGGTGGTCCCAGAACAACAGCCTTGGCCTTCTCAGCCTCTGGCTTAGGAGATGGACAAACTACTGTCCTGGAATCCTTGACTTTCACAGAAGTGTGATAAGCAGGGATGTCCATTTTCTCCTCTGAGGCTCCAGTTCCTCAGCCCCATTACTCAATAGCCCACCTCAAGTGCACCTCCTTTGGCAATCTCCCCATGACTCACTGGGCCTTTTCCAGAAGTGACCAGCAGCTTCCTTCTGCCTCTCTCTGGTCTCTCGACCTTTTCCATTCTGTCTCCCAAATAGG